GCCAGTTCCCTGCAACTGTCAGAAGTCACCTAAGAGCAGGGAAGGCAAGAAGTGTTCACGTTTCCAGGAGTTCCAGTGTTCCAGGCTTTGAGAAAGCTGCTAAATGTTCTGAGATACTTGGAGAAAGGAAGACCTGGCAACACTGTTAGCGCTGTTTGCCACACAAACCAGAATGTCTCATTTCTCTAGTACATCTTTTCCTGGAAAAACTGGCTCAGGACCTGGATGGGTGGTCTCTTCAATGGGTAAAAAACTGGCTGCATGGCCAGATCCAGAGAATTTGTGGTGAATGGAGCTACATCCATTTGGCAGCTGGTTGCTAGCAGTGCTCCCCAGGGCTCAGTTTTGGGGCTGGTCCTGTTTAACATCTTTATTGATGACTTGGACATTAGGATTGATGGCACCCTCAATAAATTTGCAGATGACACTAAGTTGTGTGGGAGTGTTGACCTGATTTGAGGGTAGGAAGTCTCTGCAGAGGGATCTGGAAAGCTCAACCAATGGACTGAGGACAACTGCATGAGGTTAAATAAGGCAAAGTGTCAGGTCCTGCCCTTGGGTCACAACACCCCCAAGCAGCACTACAGGCACGGAGAAGAGTGGCTGGAAAGCTGCCCAGCAGAAAAGGACCTGGGAGTGCTGGCCAGCAGTGGCTGAGCATGATCCAGTGTGTGTGTCCAGGTGGCCAAGAAGGCCAATGGCATTCTGGCCTGTATCAATAATAGTATAGCCAGCAGGACCTGGGCAGTGATTTCCCCTCTGTACTCAGTACTGGTGAGGCCACACTTCAAGTGCTGCATCCAGTTCTGGGCTCGTCACTTTAAAAAGGACATTGAGATGCTGTCCAGGTAGAGAGACTGATTTCTTCTACCATGTCTGCAGTGAAAGAACCAGAGGAAATGGCCTTAAGTTGAGACAGGGGAGATTCAGATTAAGTATTATAAAAAGATTTTTCATTGTTAGCGTGGTCAGACATTGGAATAGATTGCCCAGGAAGGTGGTGAAATCACCGTCCCTGAAGGTATTTAAGAAGCATCTGGATCTGTGCTGGGTGATATGGTTTATGGTTTAAGGGTTACTGTGATACTGCTGGGTGGATGTTAGCACTTGGTTATCTTAAAGGTCTCTTCCAACTTTGATGGTTGTATAATCAGTGGATGTTAGAGATGCACAGGTGCAGAGCCACAGGCAAGGAGTTCTTGAGCACTTCAAAGAGCCTCTTTCTTAGAGACGCTGCCTTTGGCCATGTTTCATGCTTCATGTTTTAGGCTGCTGCTGTACTCAAGTTCTTGATTAATCAAAAGCTGTACAGGAAAAGGCAGCACCAAAGGGACCTGCTCAGTATGCCAAGGAGACACAGGTACTTTGGGACAGAGGACCCAGGGACTCTACTGCCTTGCCTTGCCTTGCCTTGGATAAGCTGTCTACCCCACAGTCAGCTGCAGAAACCACATCTCTCCCCACTTTTGTTTCCTTGCTGGGCATCTCTCTAGCAATCATGAGGGATTTGCTCAGTGGGGCTTAATGGAAGGTAGGTGAAAATTTTTATTTCTTTATTTCAGATCTCAGTCCATGCATGAAGAGCATGCCACACTTGGCAGCAGCTGTATGAGACTTTTTGATCCAGGTAGTCCCTCCCCTCCTTTTTGCAAGTTGAGAAAGTCACACTAAGGGCAACTTCATTCACCAGGGCTTCCCCCAAAGGAGTTCTTGCCTGCAGGAGGGCAGTTGGCTGGCCCAGGTGAGCTCTCGTGAGGCTGGGAGAACAGCAAGGCCAGTTCCCAGGAACAGCTGCATGCCCAAGTGGTGTGGAGAGTGCCAGCCTCACCTGGCTTTCCTGCATGCCACCCCAGCCCCATGCACTGCTTGGGCAGGGAGAGGAGGGCAGGGGAGTTTGCTGCCAAGAATGACACGTCTGTGTGTGCCTGACAGCATCTGTTGCCATGGCAATGCATATTTGAGCCTGAGCCGAGTTGCATCTTCCCTGAAGTTGTGAATTGAGCTTAGCTTTATTTATTTAAAACCAACCATAATGAGTGAAAGAAAGACGAGAGACACATTACAAATCCCCTTGCACAGGACGTAGCCAAATGAGTCAGAGGCACTGCAGGCTTTAATCAGCCCACCTGACGTCAAACCTCTCCATCAGAGGAAAGTGCCGCCTGGAAATGTCAACATGCCCAAATGGAAAGGCCAGAAGGTAAATCTTTTCCTGTGCTCATTCACTGAGTAGGAAAGAACAATTAAAATTCAGCCAGTTCCCTAGACACATCTTAATAGCACTCTGATTGAACGTTTTTCTCCTCCTGGTCCTCTCCCATCCCTGCTGTTAGCTGCCTGGGGACAAGGCCTCTTGGTTGAAGGATCTTTCTAATGTAACATCAAACCCCAGATCCTGCAAGAACAAGGTGTTACCACCAGCAACAAAAAAGGGCTCTGTTGGAAAATTTTGTCACTGAAGTGAACTCTCCCACAAACACTGAGTTTACCATGCCATGACAGTGGTTCTCAGTTTCACACATGTGAATGCCCAGGGGTAAAAAGAGCAACTTATCTTGGACCTATGCCACTTGTCAACAGAAAGTTGGAATGAGGAAGAAAAGCAGCAGGAACGAGACCATTTTTTGCCAGCGGTGTCAACCACCTGAGGGAAGGTCAACACCAAGCCTGACAGATGCACCACAGTAACAGGAAATGATCATGGGCTGTAACAGATGCATTACCTACTGGGAACAAAAACCCTCTTGCATCCTTTGTAACAAAACTCAAACTTCGGGCCCCTGTAATATATACAAGGTAAGAAGGAGCCCCCAGCTTTGAGCACAAGAAGCCTGTTCTTGAGTGTATATCATAAGCTAGGTGTACAAAAGGGAGAGGGGTCAGCCAAGGACACCTACAGCTTTATGTGCCCCTTTGACAAGCATCCAGCTAGGAAGCCTAGGAAAACCATCCATTCAAAGCCCACTGGTGTTTGCCAGGGGTGACAAAGGGACACATGCAGCCATCAGGGAAAACAAGCACCCGGAGAAGGAGGAAGGAAGGAAGAATGTAAATGCAAACCGCACCACTTAAAAGCAGGGCAGCATTCCAGTTCCTCCAAAGTGTCCCCACACCCAGCACTGTACAGCAGCCAACCTGGTGGGCTTCTGATCTTCCCAAAGCACTTAACACTTCTCCCCCTTTTATTTTTGTCCTAAATGTGTTTTGCTTTGGTGGCTGATGCTGGCTATGTGCCTGAGACTTTACACTGGGGCTGCTTTTCTCTGGGAGATGTCTGTAATGAAGGTTTCTTCCACCGTGTTCTCTTCCCCCTGTAGTGAAAGTCTGTAATTACCACTGAGGGGTGAGGCAGACAGCACTGAAACAATGTCATTTGAACGGGGGTGAGACATGCCTGAATTGCCGGGTTGTGCTTTTCTCCTCACAGGATTTCTTGTGGATCTGGACCTTGCTTTTAACCCTTGGCAGTACATTGTCCTCCCACTCCCCTGACCAGCCTGTGTGTGCTGCATCTACTTGGTTCTGACCAGGGCAGATTCTGTTGGATGTAGCCAAGATGTGAGTGTCCAACTTCTCTGCCATGCTTGAGGGGTCAAGTGGCACAAATCTGCATGGATTTCCCTCTAGTCATTCATGTGGGTAACTGGGAGTTTGGAGTTGACTCTATATGGCACATACAGTGTGTCAAAGCAGAGTTCTTGCCATCCCTTGCCCCGACTCATCCTGTCTTGTTCCAGCAGCTCTTCAGCTGCCTCCTGTACCAAAGCCATTTGCTTCCCACTCCTTGATACAAGGTATCTTCTTGGTGTAAAATTCAGAGTGTGCAGCTCGTCATTCTTCCTAGGGAAATATTTGAGTTGTAGGAAATGGTTAGGAGAAAAGAGGCGATACATTCCCCTAAGAATGACTCTTCAGGTTGTCTCTAGCCCTGTGAAGTCTGCCTGGATCCCTTCTGCAAGCACATCTTGCAACCAGGAAGGCTAAAAGCCTAGTAAATAAAAAGTAGTGCATATGAAGCAGAGGTAGCCACCTTCTTCTGCTGTACTGCAGCTTCCCATTCACATACTGTTTTCAAATGCTAACAAACTGCTGGAAGGAGATGTCCTCATATTGAAGTTACTCTGCACCCAGTCAGCCAGAAAGTTGTCTGATTCCCCAGGGAGATTGCCAGCCTATGCTCTTTCTGAGGTATAGAGCAGGAAGGGGAGATTGTGTGTGACAAGGCAAAGGAGCAGTCTTAGCTTGCCATGAAGAAATGAAGGAATTACAGAGATTTTTCATCCTATACCAGTTACTTCCAAAGTGGTGAGTTTTCATTTCTCATATTTTGTTAAAGTGCCCATTTACTGTTTGGGGGCTTTGCTTTCTGTCATACTGGCAGAAAGACTACAGCCACAGGCAGCTCAGCCACATTCGCAGGAGACTAAAGGGGTTCCGTGAAGGGATGTTCCTAGGGTCCCGTGTCTTGTACTCAATGCTTTCCTTTTCCTAGGTCTTTCCTGCTTCCTTATCTGTCACTCGCTCCTTGTTTGCAAGGCTTGATTTAAATCTATCCAAGGGCCCCAAGTTTGCCCCAGAAAGAATAATAATTGCAGTGCTGAGCTTTGTGGCTTCCCTTTCATTCCCCACATAGCATTAGGGTGCTCATTGAAACCACAGCATTCATGGATCCTTGCCATATGCAAACATGCAATTAATATGCTCTTCACTTTCCCCTCTACTTCCTAAGCAATATGGGGGGGAGAAACAGAAGAAGTTGTGGTGCACATTTCCTTATGACACACACGTGTCTGCTCTTCTCTGCAGTGCTTCAGCGTGGCTCATGCCTACCTGGATTTGGTGGTCATTAAAGAAGTGAGTCTGCTTGCAGGCAGACATTTAATTTGATGTTCTGTGTAGCTGCACACAAAGCAACATGCAAAACATAATTCATTCCCTCTTTCAGTTGTGGTGGCAGATCTATGAACACCCTTTTTTCACACCCCCTTCTCTGTTTTTAGCAGGGAGCTGCAATGGGTGTGATCTCTGCACTGGCTCCCCTCCCTGTCCCACTGCTGCTTGCTGGTGGTTGGAACAGGTGTGCTGGGTACCTGACTGGGAGTGCACACAGCAGGAAGAAGGAAATGGAAAGCAGCTGATGCTGGCTGGAGAGAGAAGGTGTGTGCAAGAGAGAGAGTTTAAACCAGCTGCTGGAAGGAAATCCAAAGGCAGACACATTTCCTGGATGAGGCAGGGCTGTGGATCAGAGGGCAAAGAAAGTCTCCAGTGATTGCAAGTCCTTCCTCAAAAGTTACCTTTTGCTAGAGAATGTTTTGCTGTATCACTCTCTATCTTGACTTTTTCTTGGGTTTTTAATTGCCCCCACAAAAATCTAAATGAAGAAATCACAGCCCAGAGGGTTGGATATGTAACTACTTGTGCCATCACACATGACCTGACTCCTAAGAGCCTGTCTGGGGACAGTAGTATTTCTTATATGAACTAGGCTGAAAGTTCCATTTCTATCCTCACCTTGTTCTCAGTGGGCCTTCAGGAGCAGAGGGGACCTATAATGCAGCAGTTGCTCCCTCCATCTGTGGTGCACAAAACAGTGAGCAAAACCCCACCAAAGCAATATATGGAGAAGAAATCAAATCCAGAGAAAAGAAAACGAAATGAGGGCAAGACTGTTGCAAAGAGCTAGTGAAGAGCCAAAGTATGGAGTCCACATAACTCCAGAAAACCTTCATGGCTAGGAAGACAGGCTGTGGCAGCAACGGTATATTCCATCCATATGAACACCAATGCTGGAAAGATAAACAGGACAAATGGTATCTTTCACAGATTTGAAGTAAAAGCTTGTCTTTGGTGGCAGTCCTAAAGAGCCAGCCTGACCTCCAAAGCAAAGCCGTTCTAACAGCATGAATCATTCCCATACCAGCTGTCCAGGCTGCAAACACTACACAGATGACCCCTCCTGTAACAACAGAGCCTGTATGCAGCAGACCAAAAATCACCGACATTTCACCCTACATTCCTCAAGAAACACTCATTCTCAAAGAGTCTGTGAAACCTCCTGGCACAGTCCTGGGTAGGGGGAACCAAAAGCTTCAGCTTGGCTTGTAGCCGAATGGCCTGGATTGCTGTCCACGTGTTCAAGCCCAGGGCCTGCTTACCTTGTCTTGTGTGTCTTGCTCACAACAATGCAGGGTGAAGGCAAAGCAAATGCAAAGTGATATGATGAGAGACTTGCAGTTCTCACTCCATGGACATAAAGGCAAGCCGTGGAAGCAGGACCAGGCAGGATGGAGCACAGCAGAGCAGGATCCCTTTCTTCTGAGAATTGGACTGATGATTCACTTCTCAGCAGTGATAAAATTAGCTTGGTTGGTCATACATGTGTATTTGCAGTACCAAATATTGTGAGGCCAGGAAGACTTACTGTTGTCAGTTTGACTTTTTCAGCCTGAACATACTTGATTGCTATTTCAATCTCCTGCTGTAATCAGATTGCAAATAAATCTAAGTATAAAATCAGAGAAAACTGAGCTGAGAAGGAATTTGAATGATCATGTAATTCAGCCCCTGCCCCAAGGTTGCTTCTTGCTCTGCTGCATCTATGTCCCAAGAGATGGCTGCAAAACTTGGTTTTAAAGATGCTCTAGTAAGGGTGATGCGCCATTCAAGTGTTGCAAGCACTGCAGTTGCCAGGCCTCTGCTTCAGCAGTGCCCCTCTGCCCTTTGCTGCAGGCACCCATGGCCAGCTACAGCAGCACACCTGAGTTTTTCTGAATTACAATCACCTCCCCTCACCCATCAACAATTTACCTGTCTCCAAGTCTCTTCTGGAGCCTTTCTGCTTGCCTGCAAAAATAACTCTCCTTTTTGGCTCCAGAGGGTCAGTAGCTAGATGACGTTTCCATTGCCTTTAGTGAACTGCACTCATGCCTGACATAAGCAAAGCATTCATTTCAAAGCTCTACACAAATGCTAGGGATGGGGGCTCCCATAAGAGCTCTCCAAGATGGGACAGAGCAGCTTTCCTGTTCAACATCAAAACGGGATATTTGTTATGATTCTTCCTTGCCTGCAAAGGTGCAGCAGTGATGGGCAGAGAAGGTGCATCTGGGCAGTTCATCTCAGTACTAAAAGCACTGAATAGAAGCAGGGTTTCACACCAGGCAATTTCTTTTTTTTTTTTTTTTTCTGAGATATTTTAATCTCCAGAATGGATTTCACAGCTCCTATCTGACTGTGCCAAAGCATTTTCCCTTCAGAGCACAGACAAACAAGTAAGGTTTACTTTGCTTGACCTTTTCTGATGACACTGCCACCCATGCTGTGCAAACCGTAGCTGACACCATCTGAGCTTCCTCGGCCTGAGGATAAATACAGTGTGTGTCCTGAGAAGGGGCTTCCTTGTGTTAGCTTGGGCAAGGCACTGAACCAGAAGCTCTTGGTTTCACCAATGAGTCTTCATAGTTAGGGAAGCAATATCTGTGTTTGGTTAGTGGCAGGAGGGGAAGCTGCCCCTGCTGTGGCTCTGTCCGTGCTCTGTGACCCTGGCTGTCACTCCATTCCTATGGCAGGATTTGGTCTGTGGGTTCCTTGCAGCTGAGAACCCTGCTGACTGGGATGTTAAAGGAAAGGCATCTTTCTCCTTACTTGGAGACAGGTTTAGTTCTTGCTGAAAGGTCTGGATGTATTTCTTCTTCCCATCTTAAAATGGCAAAGGTTTTTGTGTTTCCCCCTTTAACCCACTGGCATCCACATTAACAAAGAGGTTTCTTTACCATTTAGGAGGTAGGAACAGCATTTTCTCAGCACAACTCTATCCTGGCTGAATTTACGTCTCTGACCTTTTACCCAAAGGCTCTTTACACTTGACTGAAACATAAGGTAAAAGTAAATGTAACTGAAAGAGCTCATTGTGTGTGTAAGTATAAAGGCTTTTGTGTGCAGGATGTGGCTGCTTGTGCAACCAGTAGCCAAGGAGCACCTTGGGTTGTGCTGTTAATTCTGACAGACGTGGAGAATGTGGAGCAAGAGCCTGGATGGATGAAAACCCCGTGTCCAGTTCAAGCACAGCCTCCAGCCAGCTTCAAATCAGCACTTCTATGCCAGAACCCTCACCACTGGCAACTTCTGGACAGGTTTCCCCCAGGAGTGATGCACTGCTACCTTTGGGGTTTTTTCTCCAGACCAAGAAAGCTGGAGCTGGGACTCCAGTCTGTTCTCTGTGGAGCCATGGAAATAGGGACAGATTAATAAAACATCAGGGCTTCTTCAACGGCATTATTAGAAGTGGTTTTCTTGAGTGTTGGTTGGAGTAATGATCAGAGAGGACAGGGATCCATAATCCTATTTATCTGAAACCATATAATCTTCCTGAAGCTCTTTAATACTGCCCAGCTCTTTAATTACAGAGCAGCCACATGTGCTGCTGCAGCTAGGCCTACCTGCAAGCCCTCTGCGGGGAGCGGGGGCAAGGAGACCTCCCTGCCGGCTGCCCTTCAGGCTCCGACCCCGCAGAACGCCCATCTTTCCCGGCGCTGCTCCGCGAGGGATGCAGAGAAGCCACCAAAGCTCGGCCGGCTGCTGAAAAGAGGATTTGTTCAGTTCGTCAAATTGACACGTCTCTGCCGGGGACCAGCAGCGCCTTCGGGTCCCTGCGCAGCGCCGGGAGGAGCACGGGGGCCCCGGGCAGCCACCGGCCTCGCCCCGCCCGGCGGTGCGGGGGCTGCCCGGGAGGCGGGGGCGCTGCCTCGAGGGGGTGTCTGCGCGGGAAGTCCCGCCCCGGCGGCTCCCGGAGAGCGGCGGGGGCGTGCCGCGGCCGCCCGCCGGCCCCTCGGCAGCGGGGCACTGACAGCCGCCCTGAGCGGCACCGGCGCGGCGCTCCGCTCCCGTGCCC